TGCACCTCCTCCGTTCACTCATCCACCCATCCGTGAGGGGGGAGGGGAGAAGCAGGTGAGGGGGGGAGGGGAGAAGCAGGTGAGGGGGGAGGGGAGAAGCAGGTGAGGTGGGAGGGCCCGAGGGGCATGAAACGTGGCAGAACCATCATCTGTTTAGGCTCCCGTTGCCCACCATCCGCCCAACCGCTCGCCACCCATGGATTCGTGCCTCACTGGATCATCATCCGTCTTCCACGCATCTGCACCTCCTCCGTTCACTCATCCACCCATCCGTCATCCAGACGCCCACTTGCCCGACCGTCTTTCCATCCGTCCGTTCGCTCATCCATCTCCCAGGTAGCCACTCATCCCGCCATCCATTCACTTGTCCCCATGAATTCATCCTCCCTCCCTCCCACTGTCCATCCAGCCAACCATACATCCGTCATCATCTCCCTCCATGGTGGACACTGGGCCGTGCTGGCCAGGTCCCCTGGTGATCCAGAACTCACTGCGCCAGCTGCTGGAAGTGCTGGTGTCTGGGCGGTCTCAGCTCCAGAGAGCTGCCCCACCCGGTCGTGGCGCTGCCCAGGGCAGCCACATCCATCCGCTGACGTCTGTGGGAGTCTAGAGACCTGGTCACTTGGCCACCAGGTCAAATCTGAGGCTGATGTCACTCCAGAGCTCCCGAGGCGTCGGCCAAGGCTGTCGAGGGGCCCGCACCGCAGCTGCGCCTCCTCTCCGCCCACTCCCGCTTCCGTCCCCTCCTTTCTGCAGGTGGGCACCCCGGGGTCCCTCCCTAACGAGCATCCTGCACATGAAACTCTGCCTCATGATCTGCTTCCTGCAGAACTCGGCCTGAGACTCGGCCGCCTCTTGGCCATCCTGCAAGTAAACATCTGCCTCCCGCCTGCTGTCGGTGCAGGAGGGGCCCCACTGGGGACTCAGCCATGCCCCTTCACGGTCCTGCCCTCGAGGACTTCATAGTCCCCGGGCTCCAACCAGGAAGACAGGCCAGAGTGGTCACTTCGGACTGAGGGCCTCAGGAAGGCTCCAAGGACCTCCGAGGTTCCAC